TTCTTGGATGAAAATGTCAAAGTCAGTTTTGACTGTTTCCCTTCTTCAGTTTTTACATCTAAGCAGCTCTCAAGTTGAGTAATTATTTCTTTCAGTAATTCTTCTTATCCTTCCCATCACTTCCCTTCTCACTGCTGCTGTGCACTTGAATTCATTCTATACAATATTCAGTGATTCGTGTGACTGGTGGTAAGGGCTGGCTGCAGGACCGTACCCACTTAGTGAAGAGGGTACCAAAATTTCTAGGGGGATGATTTAAGAAGCATATAAAATATTCTAATTTTAACTTTAGGGAAAATACCTGCTTTGTCAGAATATAAATTATAGAAAGTAAAACCGATGAAATCTTACATGAAGGGCCATGGTTAAAAATGGTTGTCAAACGTTGCTCAAATTTAGAATTTCCCAAGGTATGCAATGTTTACAATTGGTGATGCTTAATGTGATGTTAGGTGGAACACAGACCAACTTTTAAAATATTATTAATACTTGTGTTTTTATTTTAACATGTATTGGAGAAAATATGATGTCAAACCCATAATATATCTGGTTATTTTTTTAGGGTGAAGCTGAAGTAAATATTTAGGTTTTTAAAAAGTTGTAGCCTTAAAGAAAAAGTTAATATTGTAGGCAGAATATAGATATGCCAACAGTTGTCAAGATGGTAAAAGAAAAGTTTGAAAATCAGTGACCACTTTACTGCCTGTAGTTTCCATTATATTTGCCTACTAATTAACAGATCTGTCTCAGAATTGTCACTTATCTTTCTTGATAAAACCTTGAGGAGCTCATCACTACCTGCCAAATAAAGTCATTTAAACTCTTAACCTAAAATCAATGTCTTCTAAGCCTGGCTCCAGCCTTCCAGTCTTCCTCTACCTCCTGGCTTTCCAAACAGTGCTCAGAAAGTACCAGTTGCATAAGAGTTAATGAGTGCTCCAGAAAAGAGGATTTCATGGTCCAAAAAGTTAGGTAAAGTGTTGCATACTGTATCCCTCTGAGTTCTATTCACAAGGAATTATACCATGTTCAAGCCTTTGAGGAGAACCGAGGTAATGAAACTTGTCCATGTTTATCATAGAACAACATATCCTGTTGTGGAAACAGTGTGTGTGTTTATCAGCTTACTTGATCATCTTTGTCGATAACCCTCTCTTTTAGATTGTACATTAATGTTTTGTGTGTCTAGTGTAATAGAGACACATTTGTAGAATCTGTAGAATCTATTTGTAGTGGTGCCATCTCTCTCATTCCTGATATTGGTGACTTTTGTCTCCTCTCTTTTTTTTCCTGTTTAGTCAGGGTAGAGATTTATTAATATGATTGGTCTCAAAGAACCAAAATTTTACAAATATTATAAGTTTATTATGGGAATGTTATGAACATTTTATGCCAATACATTGTATTTTGATTTCTTCTTTGAACCGTGGTTGGGGTTTTTTTTTTTTAGAATTGTGTTATTTAGTTTCCAAATATTTGAACATTTTCCAGATACCTTTCTGTTATTGATTTAAAATTTAATCCCTTTGTAGTCATAATCGAGAATATATTTTGTATGTCTTGTATCCTTATAAATTTACTGAAACTTGTTTTACCACCCAGAATAAAATGTGTCTTAGTGTCCATGTGCACTTGAAAAGAATGTGTATTCTACTCTTCTTGAGTATAATATTCTAGTAAATGTCAAATCATGTTGGTTGATGATGTAGTTCAAGTCTTATGTATCCTTAACTGATTTTCTGCCTACCTGGTGTATCAGCTATGAAGAGCAAGGTATTTAAATCTCAGAGTATAATGAAGGATTTGTCTATTTCTCCTTGCTTTTCCATCAATTTGGGGTCCCATATTTTGAAACTGTTACTAGGTATATAAACACTTAGAATGATTATATCTTCTTGACTAATTGACCTTTTACAATTATAAAATGACCTTCTTTATGATAATATTCTTTGCTGTACAATTTACTTTGATCTTAATATAGATCCAAGTTTGTTTTTGACTAATTTTAGGATATTATTTTCCATCATTTTACCTTTAATCTAATTTGTCCTTCTCTATTTGAAATGAATTTCTTGTAGGCAGCATACAGTTAAGTTTTGCATTTTTATCTAATCTGTTGATGTCTATCTCTTAAGTGGGAGGTTTAGACCATTTACATTTAATCTGATTGTTGATAAAGTCTATCATCTTGCTATTTATTTTTTATTTGTTTCATCTGTTCTTTGTTCCCTCTCCCCACTTTTTTACTAGTTTCTACTGGATTGCTTTTTTTTTTTAATTTTATTTATTTATTATAGGCACACAGTGAGAGAGAGAGAGAGGCAGAGACACAGGCAGAGGGAGAAGCAGGCTCCATGCACCGGGAGCCCGACGCGGGATTCGATCCCGGGTCTCCAGGATCAGGCCCTGGGCCAAAGGCAGGCGCTAAACCACTGCGCCACCCAGGGACCCCTACTGGATTGCTTTTATGAGCCCTTTATCTCCTTTGTTGGCTTATTACCTATAATTCTTTATTTTGTTATTTTAATGATTGCTTAGAGTTTATACTATAGGTCATACCTTCAATTAATATACTACTCCATATACAGTGTAAGAACTTCACAATTCCATTTCTTCCTTCCTAGTCCTTATGCTACTGTTGTCATACATTTCACTTATATACACATGTTATAAGCCTCACAGTACATTATTTTTTCCTTAAAAAATGTTATCTTTTAAAGAGATTTAAATAATATGAAAACAGCTACATATTTTCCCATGTAAGTATCATTCCCATTGTCTTCATTCCTTTATGTAGATCTAGATCTTCCATTTGCTATCATTTTCCTTCCTTCTGAAAGACTTTCTTTACTAATTCTTGAAGAACATTGGAGTACATATCTGCTGATGATTAATTTTCTCAGTTTTTGGTTTTAAAAGATATTTTCACTGGTACAGAATCTTAACTTGACAAATGTTTTTCTTTCCATACTTTAAGTCTGTTGTTTCACTCCCTTCTCATGTGCATTTTTCCTCCAAGCAATATGCTATCGTCTGTATCTTTTATTTTTTTCATACTAATATGTTTTTTTCCCCTAACATTTAAGATTTTCTCTTTACCTTGGTTTTGAGCAATTTGGTTATGATATGCCTTGGTGTAGCTTTCTCTGTTTCTTGTGTTTAGTGTTCACTGAACTTCCTGAATCTCTAGCTTTTTACTGTTCCTCAAATATGGAAAATTTTGGGCTGTTATTTCTTCAAATATTTTTTTCTGTCTCCGCTACAATCTACTTTCCTATAAAGACTCAAATTGCATATATACTAAGCAATTTGAAGTTGTTTCACAACTCATGATTTTTTTAGGTGGTTTCTATTGCTGTGTCTACAAGTTCAGTCATCTTTTCATCTGTAATATCTAATCTGTCATTAATCCCTCTAGTGCATTTTTCATCTCACATAGAATTTTCATATATAGAAGTTCAATTTGGGCCTTTTTTAAATATCTTATGTATCTCTAAACTTTTTAAACATATGGAACACAATTATGATAACCACTTTAATACTCTACTAACTTACATCTGTGTCAGTTCTGGGTTCTGATTGATTGATTATTCTTCTCATGATGGCTTATGTTTTCCTTTCCCTTTGCATGCCTAGGAATCTTTGATTGGATGTCAGACTTTGTGAATTTTACCTTGTTGTGTGCTAGCTATTTTTGTGTTCCTATACATCATTGAGTTTGTCTTCTGGGGCAGTTAAGTTTTAGAAATAGGCTGATTCTTTTAGGTCTTATTTTTATGCTTTGTTGGGTGAGTCTAAGCAGTGCTCAGGTAAGGTAGGGTAAGGGTAATTTCACACTAGTGAAACAAAACCCTTCTGAGTGCTTTACCCAATACATCAGGAATTATGAGTTTTCCAGTCTGGTTGGTGGGAACAGGCATTGCTAACCCTATGTGAATGCCAGGCACTGTTCCTTTTTTAATATTATTAAATGAATCTTTCCCCAGACTCAAGTATTTTTATTATTCACATGCTGATCAGTATTCTCTCCCCTTATTTGTAATGGTCCCTCTGCTAATTTCAAGAATCCTCTATCTCTGCATCTATATCCTCTCCAGTAATCTATCCAATGAATTCTAGCTATCTTGTTCTCCCCAGATCCTCAGCTCTAGTTCCTCAACGCAGAGTCTACCAGGCTACTTCTGTGTTTCTGCTCCCTGCATGTCCTGAATACCTCAAAGCAATACATTGGAGAAATCATGGATCTCACTTTATTTCTTTTTTCCATTGATCAGGTTGATATCCTGTTTCTTTAAAAAAAAAAAAGATTTTTATTTATTTATTCATGAGAGACACACACAGAGAGAGAGAGGCAGAGACACAAGCAGGCTCCATGCAGGGAGCCCAACGTGGGACTCGATCCCAGGTCTCCAGGATCATGCCCTGGGCTGAAGGCGCACTAAACCACTGAGCTACCTGGGCTGCCCTTATATCTTATCTCTTGAAAACCATGTTTCCATAGCTTTTTTGTCTATGTGGAGGTTTTTTGGTTTGTTTTTGTGTGTTGGTTGGTTGGTTGGTTGGTTATTTCAGGAAAGAGAATAAATCTAGTCCCGTTGCCCCATCTTGACCAGAAGTGAAAGTTTAATACGTCATTTTTTTACTGCTTCAAGGTCAATTGGGGTTCAGGTGATCTACGCTGGGTTCTTTGAGAATTGTTTGGGCTTGCCTGATTTCTCCTGTATATACATATGTAAAAAATATATATGAATATGTATATTTGAATGAATGAGCAGTGTTTGATTTAGTTAAAAGTGGAAACCAGCCTGAAAGTTTTACAAAGAAGTTAGTACCAGTTATCAGGATCTTTTTTGATGGAATACTGCTAATTTCAAATAAGTCATGGGTAGAGCATTAAAATTTTCCTAGATTTAGCATCAATTTCTAGGAAAAATGTGTATTTGTGTAAGTAACTATGGAAATTATCATTTAACACCTTTATTTTCTTATTTAAAAATTAGAGGACAATGTCTATAAAAATATGCAAGAATCAAAGGAAACCCACATATCCAATCACCTAGATGAAATTGTTGCTGCTGTCAGCGTAACGCCTAGAAAGAAGATCCAAAACAAACTGCCTCAGACAGCACTCTTCCAGCCTCCTCGAGAGAAACTCCACCTCTGTGAAGAGAAAGCGAAGTCCTATTCTAGCAGTCACAAAGTAAGGACCCTTCATTTTCTATACCTGTGCTCTGGTAACTAGTGAGAATTTAGGTTACATTTCTAACCTAAGAAGTTTGGTACAAGAGAGTATATAGAGTACCTTTATCACAGAATGAGTGGGTGTAGGCCATCAGGGCTCCAGGCACAGCACTTGGCACAGTCAACATCATACCTGCTAAATGACCGCACAAAGGAACAAACACGGTTACCCTGACTCTGGCAAGTGTATACTAGATCAACTGGTTGTAGGTTTGACCTATCAGTCTTTTTCCATCAGTATAGACCTATTTATTGAGCTCCCCCTAGTGCCAGCTCTAGGCACTGGAATATAACACAAAGCGATGAAACTTCTACAGCTTACAATTCTTACATTCTTGATCTTCTTGCTTTCCACATACATCTGTCCCATTCTCTCCTCAAAGTTTTACTCATTCAAAAAAATAAAATAAATAAATTAAAAAAGAAGTTTTACTCATTCACTTGTTCATTTAATATGCGTTTCTCTACCACCACTTATGTTAGACCCTACTGTCCATCCATTTTTTTTTTCACAAATAGCTACTGTACACCTACTATGTGCCAGGTGCTATGCAGGTGCTGGGGGCACATATGGGAAAGCTACAGCTTCTGCCTCAGAGGGACTCATGGTTTGGTTGGGATGCTAGGCAGGAGGCAGACAATGGCAGTCAATGTGATAAGTTCTGTGATGGACACAAGTTCAGATGAAACCAGTTCACAACATGGCATGAGGGTAAGCAGTGGGCATGGAGATAGTGAATGGAGAGCAACCAAAGTGCTTCTTGGGATGGGAGTTACTTGGACAGCACTGATAACAGTGTTTACGAGTTGGCCAGGTAAGGAAGAGGACAATGGTGTTCTGGGCAGATAGAGAATAGAGTATTATTAACTATAGTCACAGATGCTGTATGTTACATCACCAGGATTTAGTTATTTCATAACTGGAAGTTTGTACCTTTTGACCACCTTCATCCATTTTACCCACCCCCTACCCCTGGCAACCACGAGTCTGTTCTCTGCATCTGTGAGGTTTTTTGTTCTTGTTATTTAAGATTCGACACATAAGTAAGATCATACAGTATCTGTGATTTCCTTCTGATACATGGTTGAATAATATTCCATCATATATTCAATGTCATTCAATGTTTTCTTTATTCATTCATCCATCCTTGTACTCTCGAGTTGTTTCCATGGAATACAGGCTTTAATGACATAGGACAGGAAATGAGATTGATTATAGAAGGAGCTAGGGCCCAGAGGGTATTTAATGCCCAGAGAAAAAGTTTAGATTTTCTCCTAAAAGTGTTGGAAACTATCATAGGATGACAAGTAGGAGTGCCATGAGCAGGTTTGAGTTTCTGGAATGGTTACTCACATAGCTGAGTGGAGGATGGGTGAGGAAGGAGGAAAACTGGAGAAGGCGCCCCAGTTCAGAGGATATTTAAAATAATCCCAGCAAGGGGGACACCTAGGTGGCTCAGTTGGTTGAAAATCCAACTCTTGATTTTGGCTCAGGTCCTGGGATCAAGTCCCTCATCAGGCTCCTTGCTCGGTGGGAAGTCTGCTGGAGATTCTCTCTCCCTCTCCCACTGCCCCCCCATCTCTCTCTCTCTCTCTCTCTCTCTATTTCTCTCTCAAATAAATAAATCTTAAAAAAATAATCTCAGCCAGGAATTGTAACAGCCTGAACTACAGCAGAGGCAATAGAGATGCTAAAATCAGACAGGAATTTGGAAATGTGAATCAGTGGGACCTGGTAACTGAGGGGACATAAGGGTTGTAGTGGCAAGAGCCAATCAGAGTGGGTGTATGCAATCCGTGACTTAGGTCTCAGCCAGCTTGGGTGACTGTTAGCTTGCCAGTTCCTTTGCCACTGTAATGAATACAAGAGGAAGAACAGGATTATGGAGAGGAGACATGAATTTGGTTCTAAATGTGTGCTTATTCATTATGCAACAGATACTTATTCAGTACCCACTATATGTCAGGGTCTGTGCTAGGTAGGCATTAGGCTGGCAGCCTCTCTCAACCACAGGTCTGCAAGAGAATTAAACCTGAATGCTCCAAGGCATTTAACGTCCATAAAGAAGTAACTTCTCTTCTATGGATCTAGAATGGTACTAAATTATTTTCTGTGTTCTGGAGTTCAGATGAGGAACCCCTGGTTACAGTGGTGAACAACATAGACAGGTTGAAGGCCTTGTGGAGCTGAGGGGTTATCGGCATTATAAATAAACTAGCAAGCCGAAGGTTGTGTCAAGTGTTATTAGGGAAAGAGTGGGCCTGTCTGTAAAGAGGCAGCATATGAGCTGAGACCTTAAGAAGTGAAGGAGCCAGCATGGAGAAGCTGAAGGAAGGGTTCTATGGAGAGGGAATAGCACATGTAAAATGTATGAGGAGGGCATGAATGTGACATGTTTGAAGTGAAAGAGGAAGCCGTGGTCTGACATGAAATGTCAGGAGAGACAAGGAGTTCACTTAGAACCTTGCAGGTCTCCAGCTAAGTGCCCTGGAGACCTTAAAAGTATTTTCAAGAAAGTATTAACATGATGTAACTGGTTTTTTAAAATATCCATTCTTTTCTACTTTTTTATTTTAAAATATTTCAGACTTACAGAAAGGTCTACAAGATTCACCAATTGTTTTTTTTGTTGTTGTTGTTTGTTTGTTTAGATTCACCAATTGTTAATGTTTGCTTTATTGCTTTACTTCTCTGTGTGCATATCATTATTTTTCTGAACTACCTGAGAGTAAATTCCAGATATTATGATCCTTTACCCCTGAATATCTTAGAGGAAACTCTAGGTAACCACAGTACAGTGATTTAAGTTAGGAAACTAATATTAGTACAATATTATCATCTAATCTACAAACCTTATATATATTTCTCAAATTATCTCAATAATGTCTTTGGCAGAAAAAAACATCTGACAGATCCGTGCTCTGCTCCATAAATGCCAAGATGGCGCATTCCTATGGTTGACTGATATCAGCTATTAGTGCCTTTCTGCATGGGCTTCTCCATGGGACCACTTAAGTTTCCTCATGGCATGGTGGTTAGGTTACTAGTTCGCTAGGACTGTGATAACAAAATACCCCAGACTAGGTGGCTTCACCATCAGAAGTTTATTTTCTCAGAGTTCTAGTGGCTACAAGTTCAAGATCAAAGTGTTGGCAGAGTTGATGTCACTTGGAGGCTTAGCTATCAGAGGATGTTCCCTCGCTGTCCCAACAAGTTCTTTTTTTGCACGTGCCCCTCCCTGGTGTCTCTTCCTCTTTTTTCTTTTCTTTTTTTTTTTTTAAGATTTCATGTATTTATTTATTTGACACAGAGAGAGAGCACAAATAGGCAGAGCGGCAGGCAGAGGGATAGGGAGAAGCAGATTCCCTAACCTGAGCAGGGTGTCCAATGTGGGGCTTGATCCCAGGACCTTGGAGTCATGACCTGAGCTGAGGGCAGAAGCTTAACCGACAGCTACCCAGGCACCCCTCTCTTCCTCTTCTTATAAGGACATCAGTCATACTGGATTAGGGCCATACCCTAATAGCCTCATCTCAACTTATGTCTTTAAAGACCTTCTCTGCATATACTATCACATTCTGAAGTACTTGGGCCTCCAACATTTGAATTTGGGGGGTGGTAGGCACACAATTCAGCCCATAATTGGTTGTAAATGGAAACAGAAAGTGGAAGCCTCTAGTTCCTTAAGACCTAGGGAACCCAAAACTGGCACCGCAAAGCCCAGATTCAAAAGCCCAGATTCAAAAAAAAGGAGACATAGACCCCTACCACTGGACAGAAAGAATCAAAGAATTCTGGAGCTATATTTTAAAGCTACCAGCCTTGCTTTGAGTGTATTGCTGCTCTGAGCTGACCTGAAGCTGGAAATGCCAGGTCCCTGTTCTCTTTGTCCTGACATTGAATATAAATGGACTTCTGATTCCTTTAATGAAATCTCTTTGTCAGTCCTGCCAACCTCATTGCTGTGCTGATATCCTAGGCTGCTAAGAAAGGTATATGAATTGAGAACTAGCAAGTGTTATTTGAAAACCCACTACCAACTTGCCCACTGGTGCCTAAATGTGTGGTAGCCATTCATAGCTGAGCAGCTGGAAAAACTAGGGAATGGTTACAAGTCTGCTCTGCTTTTTCTCTGTCTTCTTTATAATATTTTTCATAATGTACTACAAATTTAAATGTTTTATAAACATAAGTATACTATAAATTTTACTTGTTTCTGCCATTTATCATCTCTCTCACCCCAGATAAACAGCCAACTGCCTCACAAAGATCTTTATCCATTTTGTTCTCAAATGTTATCCCAAATGCTTACAACCATGTCCAGCACATAGTAGGCACTCAGGAAATACACGCTGGATAAAAGTACAGTGGACTTTGTGCTTTTCAACTCTGTGTTTTCAGTTGTCTAACTGGTAAAGCCCATTTTCTCTCCGTCACAGTATAAAGAGGCTGTCCATGAGCTTGTGCGCTGCATTGCGCTGACGAGAATTTGCTATGGTGACTCCCATTGGAAACTAGCAGAGGCACATATTAATCTGGCTCAAGGCTACCTCCAGCTGAAAGGTGAGTTCGTCTTGGATGGGGAAGATCAGTCCATTGGTTTCTGCACTTTCATGCAAATTTGACTCTAGAAGTCAAATTTAACTAGAAGGATTAAGTTTTCTTGAATATTCTCATGTCCACACATTGAAGAGCCATCTCCTTTCAGAAAGTCCATAAGATTTTTCATTTGACATATAAAAAAGAGAAGGATGATTTTAGCCCTTTGGATGGCTTTGGCAGATCCTTTTTATGATCTTAAAAGTAGGGTTCTTAGGAGAGAATGTGTTAGCTTTGAAAGCATTGTAGAAGGGGCCCAAGGTATGGAGTAGGGACCTGAAGTAGGATCCATTCACATTTGTTTTGAGGGAGAATCTCTTGGCTGTAAGTGACCCCACCCCTCACTCCCAAAAAAATACATAAATAAGAGACTAAATCAAGTTGGCAGTGAACAGAAGGTAATGTATTGGTTCGTATAGCTTGAAAAGCCAAGGGTAAAACTTGCTTGTAGACTTAGCCAGATCCAGGTATTCAAACAACGTTATCAGTTTTGTGTTTCTCTCTTCTGCCACCACTGGGCTCTGTTTCCGTCTCTGTGGACTTCATTCTTACCCAGTCTTTGCCTACATGGCAGCAGTAAGGCTTGCAAAAAGAAGCTTTAAACTTCCTTCATCAGCATTCCCAGGAAAGAAAGAACATTTTCCACCCAAATCTCAGGATTTGGGGATTCTAATTGGGCTGACCTGGATGATATGTCAAAGGCAAGGAATGGTCTGATTGGCTAGATCTGCCTTTTGGCTCCACTAGATCCTAAGAGACAGGCTGACTTTGGCTAACTCACGTAAATTGGGTGTGTGTGTGGGGGGCTAGTTGTCCCCAAAAGAAAACAGAGGAAGGGGATGGATGCAGGGAAGGCAAAAACAACAGGATATCATGTCTTCTCTTTTCTGATGGGCATCCCAGGACTAGGTGTGCAAGAGTACATCTCTGTACTCCTTTCTTCAACTGAAAAGGAATGATAAGGTTGATGGCGGTACCTAACCTCCCAGGACTGGTCCAGAGAATACATAAAATTACAGAAAGTGGAAAACACCACCATGCTTAGCACAGAATTGCCTCTTAATAAATATGGCTAAATCTGATTATCGACTGATCCCACCTATTAGATCAAAGACTGTTGGAGCCAGAGGGGACCCTGGAGATCATCTAGTTTTGAACTTCCCCTTCCCCTAGAAGGAACATCCCCTTCCTATATTTTTACTTTTAGATTCAGAATGAATGAGTGAATTGAAACAGCTTGCTTCAGTAATATATATATATAGGAGTAGATGATTTGAGACTCAGACCTAGGATTTTGGATGCCAGCTCCAGTGGCCTGGCATCTGGGATTTCAAAGGATGCTTTTCTTCCACAGCCTGCTACCTTTCTGCATGATAGTCTTTATTTCTCAATTTAAAGTAAAAGAAACATCTACTCTTTATAGAAGCCTTACTGAATGTCAGGTACCGTGCTGTCTCCCATGCATTTTCTCATTCATTCTTCATCATAATCCTACAAGGAGGGTAATATTATCATCCTTGTTTATAGTTGAAGAAGCTGAAGCCAACGTTTCAGAGTAAGTAGTGGTTCAGGGAACTTATTCTGGGAAGTTTGATATCAGAGCCAGTGCGCTTGATCCTCAACCCATGCTACCTCTGATAGACTGAGTTCCTTGAGGGGATGTACCAAAGTTGATAATACAGTGCACCATTATCTTTTGTAATATCTCATGTGTAATTGGCACTAAGAAATTTCTGGTAGGTTGATTAAATGTGTGCTTTGAAAAAATTAGATGAAATTCTCTGAAGTAATGAGTACTGGGTATTGTACGCAACTGATGAATCACTACATTCTACCTCTGAAACTAATCATACAGTATATGTTAATTAAGTTGAATTTAAATTAAAAATTAGACAAAATTTTCTAAGAGTTCCCACATGAAGAACATACCCTGGATTTTCCCCATCAGAAAATATATTCTTCTGTTTTATAGATGCAGGAACAGAATTGGTTTTGTATTTTGGAAGCTTTTTTTAGAGATTTGAGATAAAATTTCATATAATGGAAAAACATAAGACTAGAATTGTATGGATGTGGGTGGAAGAGAGGACATCAGTGTCGGGGAGGAGGATAGAGTATGGGGAAGTGAAAAGCCCTGAAACCTAACTGTGACCCCCACTCTTACCCTTACCACAAATTAATAAGCCCATGGAAGAACCCAAGAATGCACTGGGGAATTAGTTCTTGTTAGGGATTATTTTTCTCATTTTTGTTCCATTTTGATTCGTATTAGTCAATAACCTTGTGGGAATAAGAGATTGGAGCATGTCAGCTCATTCTGTCATTGGAATTGCATTTGTAAGTTTTTGTAGATATCATTGTATTTGTATTACATTAAAATAAGTCTCTGAAGTTATGATTATGGATAGATAAGCAGAAGATTCAGAATTTTTAGTATTTCAGTAAGATTGCTGTCACAAAGCCAGAATTAAAATTCACGAATATCCTGTTTCCTGCCCAGAATGCTATAGTCCTTGCATTCCATTTTTTTCTTATAATTATTTAGAACATATTTTATATCTGATATTGGGGAGGTTTCAAAGTTGTTCAATTCCCACTCATTCTGTTTATTTCTAGAAAGACCATTTGGGGAAAAACTTGAGTACTAGATGTAAACTACTTCTTTGGTTTTTATAGTCCAGACAATATTTCATGCTACCCTGATACTTCTCTGTGTGTTATCTGCCAATACATGAAGGAGACCTCATTGGACTTCCTAGCCACAGATAACTATATTCTTGTCCTGCTGACATGAAAGAGAAACTGAAACCTCTTTTTCTTTGTCCACAGGACTGTCCTTGCAAGCGAAACAACATGCAGAAAAAGCCAAAGAAATCCTTACCAACTCCCTCATGCCTCCCTATAACGACAATACAGATGTTTTTAAGTGTTCGATTGAGCTATTCCATACCATGGGGAGAGCCTTACTCTCCCTCCAGAAGTATCCTTTTGTTTCTCATCTTTACACGTAGAAATGCCACCCATAATGCTTATATTTCATTATCAAGACCAAATCAAAAGGTGACAGATGGCTTAGGAAGGGGGATAGGAACCTTAAGAGCCAAGGATGTCTAGGAACTGGGGTCCCAGAGTCTAGAACCATGTATGAAGTTTCCTAAACACAGTCCAGATTTAAGGAAGCTTCAGAGAATTTGTCAAAGGCAGAGAGACTTGCAAAGGAGCTGCTGCAGTGTGGAAGGATTATAAAGGAGGAGTGGATAGAAATTCAAGCACGGATCAAATTGTCATCTGCACAGTAAGTTTCTGGTTTAGGGCATTTCGAATACATGATGGCCAGAGATTATCTGCCAGAAGAATCTGTCTTCAGGCAGATGGTACTTCTCTGTGATGCTGTGTCCATGGCTTCTCCATGGCCATTGTCCAGAAGCAAAAGAAGACCATGCTCATCACAGCAGCTACAGCCAAGTCACATACATTAGTGACACCATTCACTAAATATGTGGTGCTGACACATTCACCCCTGGGTCCTAGAGTTCTGACGTCATTCTCTTGACTTTGTATCTCTCACCTGCTCTCCTGAATTTAAATCACCATGTGTTACATACCACAGAGAGCTAGAAGATATTTGTGATACACGTAACTGGCAAAGGGCTCATATCTAGAATCTGTAAAGAACTCCTTTTTATCAGTAAAACAAAGACAACTGAATAGAAAAGTGGGCAAGAGGGAACCCTGGGTGGCACAGCGGTTTAGCGCCTGCCTTTGGCCCAGGGCGCAATCCTGGAGACCCGGGATCGAATCCCACGTCGGGCTCCCGGTGCATGGAGCCTGCTTTTCCCTCTACCTATGTCTCTGCCTCTCTCTGTGTGTGTGTGACTATCATAAATAAATAAAAATTTAAAAAAAAATTAAAAAAAAGAAAAGTGGGCAAGAGACTGCACCCACCACCACCACCCCAAAAAAAGATGCTACATAGCTAATAAACATATTAAAGGTTCCGTCTCATCAGTCATCAGAGAAAAGAAAGTTAAAATTATGAGCTACTATTACATCTCTACTAGAATGGCTAATTTTTTTTAAAAAGACTGATAATATCAAGTGTTGGTCAGGATGCCATGCTCTTATATGCTTTCTCATGTGTTGTGGTTTGGAATATATTTGGCATAACTACTTTAGAAAACTGGCTTTTCATCAAAACTTGAATGTTTGTCTATGACACAGCAGTATCACTCCCAAATTTAAGAGAAATGCACACATGCGTTCACAAAAGACACAGCCAAGAATGTCCAGGCTACTATTTGTAATAGCCAAGAATCAGAAACCACCCAACTGTTCATCAGAAGCAGAATACATGAAATTGTGATCTGTTCTTACAAAGAAAATGATCAGACTATTCCTTGGCTTCTCATCGTGGATGACTCACAAACCTAAGGCATAGTGCACGAAGCCACACCCAAGGGAATTCCTACGTAATGATTCCATTTATGTAATGAGAGGAAGAAGAGAGTAATCTCTGAGAGGGTCTGCCAGGCTAGAATTTCTTCCTGCCCAGAAGTAGGTATTCTGCTTGCACTGTAAGACAGGAAATAAGCAAATCAGAGGTCCAAGATCTGATATTTTCTGCATCCGTTGAAACCTAATAATGTTACGAGAACTCGGTGTCCAGCCCTGTTGCTGCAAAAAAGAGGGTAAACCATCCTCTGCCAGAGTGTGGCCCCTCCTCTAATTCTTTCCAAATTAGCAGTACCCAATCTTGCCAGCAGATGGCGTGCCTCGAACACATCTGCGAGAATACCCAGCAAGAGTGGAAGGGAATGTTCCCTGCTGTCCTGCAAAGTTACTTTGTGTTTAGCTGAGTTGTTCTAAACTGCCACTTCTTTACGTCCTGGTTCTTCACAGTGTCATAGTCACTGGAACTTGCATGTTTAAACTGCATAGTTTTCTTTTGATCACTCTGCTTCGTTTCCTCCTTGAATTGTGAATATTTTGCCCAAACGGGTCTGTTTTAGAAACTTTACGAGGCTTTGTTTTTGTACATTTCTATTTATGTTCACAACCACAAGGGCCTTTTCTTTTTCCAGGTCTTGGTAGTACAAGACCAGGATGATTTTTCAAGCCGCTCTCAGGGGATTTGTGTTCCTCTTAAAAGGGTATCTTTCATGCATCCTCTTCCTCCTTCTGCCTCGCCTTTTATGGTGCCCATCAGGCCAAGCCAGTTCTTTTCTCCTTGAGCTGACAGATGAATGCTGCCGGGTGACTCATGCTCCATGCCTTCTATCCCTAAGTGTGGGCTGAAGCTTTGTCCCTTCTACCTGCCCTCCTTTTTCCAGTACTACTACCTATTCACTAATTATTAATTAACTCTGGAGAGTAAATCCAAAACACGTTCCTGCGCACCCCCTTGCTTTTTTACGTGTGATAAACTCACTAGTGAAAATGGACAACTGCTTCCCCTGTCTTAGGAATTATTTTCTACCCTGGTTACTGCTGCTCCAGAATGTGTGACCTGTCAAGGCTCTCCCTAGGACTGTGTGACGTGTCATCTTTGGAGTCTTCCACAGCTAGCTCAGTGAGCACGTGGCCTGGCGTTGCTGTGCTGACTAGCTCTCAGCGTACTTGTGATAACTAGAGCATCAACAGGGTAGCTCCTGTATCTCGAAGGAAGGTGACATTGTGTGTAGCCAACAGTGTGGGCTTTAGAGTCAGGTAGCCCCATATTCAAATCAGCATCCATTCTACCCTCCCAGCTGTAAGACTGTGGGCAAGTCCCCTACTCTTCTCTCCTGTTAAGGTGGGAACGATCAGAACTCCAAGGTTTGCTGTGGTGATGAAATAGACCCCACATTAAAGCATCTGGGTACATGGTAAACCCCTTTTTAAAAGATTTTATTTATTTATTTTTGTTTATTTATTTATTTTTGTTTATTTATTTATTTTTAGAGAGAGTGCTCATGCACATACCAGCAGGGGAAGGGGAGGCTGGTGGGGGGAGGAGAGGTTGGAGGGGGGGCAGGAGGAGGGACAGAGGGAGAGAAGAGAGAGAATGCTAAGGAGGCAACATGGCCAGCATGGAGGGGAAGTAGGGCGGCATCTCATGACCTTTAGATCATGACCCAAGCTGAAATCAAGAGTTGGTCACCCAACCGATTGAGCCATCCAGATGCCCCACGATTTTTTTTAAGTAATATCTACACCAACCATGGGACTCGAACTTGTGATCCCAAAATCAGGACTCACATGCTCTACAGACCGAGCAGTCAGGCACTCCGGTAGACCCTTTTTAAAAAGTAGTTATTATTATAGTTACTATCCATTTAAACATTTCTTTTTGTATGGTTTCACCCTGGAAATGGTTTGATTTTAAAGCATGTGCTTATACCACATGCTAAGATTCCATACTTCAGGACTGCCCCTAGCATGCAATATTCTCTTCTATTCTTGTCCTGTGACTTGGGAAAAGCTAAGCACTCCCTGTCTTTGCTTTTGTGAACTGCTTAAGCTAAAATTGATAGTCTTATGTTTTCATTTTTAAGCTTGACTTTGTTTCTTTGTCTTGCTTCTACTTGATCCATTATGGTGGTAAGATTTGGAAAGTGAGTCTAACATAAGGTTTCCCAAGAGGAAAGGAGATAAGGAAGGTTTCTCCCTTGGCTGATACTTCCTGGAAAGAGGTAGAAGGTAATGGAATAAACGATGGGGCAACGTGTCTAACTACCTGCTGCTACCTCACTGGGATGCTAAAATTCGACTTAGTTCAGGTGCTTCCCCTTAAAGCATCCACCAATGGCTTTTATTGAGAATTTTTGATACTTCAGTAATCACAAAATTTACTATTTTGCTTTTAGATCTACAGTATTCAGGGGCACTTGAGCGGCTCAGGAGTTGAGCATCTGTCTTTGACTCAGGTCATGGTTCTGGGGTTCTGGGATCAAGTCCTACATCAGGCTCCCCATAGGGAGCCTGCTTCTCCCTCTGCCTATATCTCTGCCTCTCTCTGTGTGTCCCCATGAATAAATAAAGAAAATCTTAAAAAAAAAAAAAAAAAAAAAGATCCTACAGTATTCAAACTAGTAATCTCCAAATCTTGCTTTCAGGACTCAGGGTTTTTTTGGTTTGTTTGTTTGTTTTGTTTTGTTTTGTTTTTTAAGTTCATACCACCTGGAGGTCCTTGGCGTCTAAGCTTGTACCTCTGTAGATGTGTTTCTTTAAAGAATCATCTCTGCCTCTCTTTTTTGGGGTATAAAGGCTCTGATGAATGCTTGTGTATTCCAAGCCCTGCTTCTTCCTCTCCTCTGGGAAATGCCCTGCTTTTCTCCAGAAGAGATATTTCTCCTGTCAGCTCCTCCCATGGGACACTATTTGTCTGGCATGCCTTATGCTCGCTTAACAAAGAAGGAAATGATTTATTTTTTTTCTGGTGCTCTTCTTCATCCAATGTTACTTTGATTAAAGAAATGCTCTTCCCTTACACACAATCTGATTTTTTAAAAATCAGGTTTTTTTAATGTGAAGAAGTATGCCCCAACCATGGCACAGATTACCTTCGTATACTTTATCTGATTTCTATTCCTTGAATCTCCTAAAGCTTTAAATTTCAGAGCACTATATTTTTGTCTTTCCCTTTCTAACACTACAGGGTTATAATACACATTTCCTTTAAAAACTACAAATAATAACAGTGGTTTTAGATAACCACACCAGCTACTAACTCTTGGCTACGTTCTGGGTCAGGCTGTTGTGAAGCGCCTTTTAGACCTTGTCTCCTTTAGTCCTATGGGCTGGGTGCTCTTTGTACTACCATTTTCAAATGGAGTAACCAAGGAGAAGGAAGGGGGGTCATTCCCCAGGGTCATATCGCTGGGAACACAGCCAGTTCTACCAAACTCGAGTGTCTGGGCTCCTTACCATGGCACAGATACATTCGCTGGTGCAGAATGAAGACCTGACAATACCCTCTACAGAGCAAAGCCTTTCCTGTGTGTGCCAGAGGGTAGATAAAGAGACCTACATGTAAGCCTTTTCTCACTTTGACTGTAGAAAATCCCACTTGTCTTTTTTCTGGATTGATTTCTCATCAGATTTCGATTATCAGCAACCTTCCCACAAAGGCTTTGCTTTTCATTGTTGCTCCATATTCTTGCCAAATTCCAGAGCTTTTATTTTTTTTAAAGATTTTATTTATTTATTTGAAAGAGGAAGCATGAGTGGAGGGAGAGGCAGATGCAGAGTGAGAGGGAGAAGCAGATTCCCCAATGAGCAAGGAGCCTGATGCGGGACTCAATCTCAGGATCCTGG